GGGACGGCTATATAAACTACTGCAAAGTGTACACCAATGCCTTTCCCAACGGGTTCGTGACTAATAAACTGCAAAATATTAGATGTCCGACCCTGGTGTTTCACGGCGATATGGTTAGCAAAATATATTTATTGTTGTATGGTATTTTACTTAATTTTTGTGTTTATTAGGACCCATTGTGTAGTTTGGATCACTCCCTACATGTCGAGAAAAATATCCCATACTGTCAGTTGCATCGATTCAAAAAGGGTGGTCATAACAGTCACCATAAGTACCCGTCTGAATTTCTCAGAATAACCGAGAATTTCCTTAAGGAATGCAATGAATTTCATTGAGGGATATAAATAATTTATACAAAAACTTGTTTTCCAATTTATGACGCTATTGTAAAAACAACTGAATATTAATTGTTTTATTTAAATCTTATAGCAAACGAAAGTGTTATTTTGAATATTTTATTTGCTTAATTCATATTCATATTATATATATTTTTTTATGGGAACACTTTTTAAAAGTTATAAATCAAAAAATTTTAAATGGCAATAAAAATAAAAATTTGTCTTTAAACAAAAACTTGAATAATAAATTTATTGAATGGTTCAACAAATGAAATAATTATCACAAATATTGGGATTTTTGTGCCGTTTGCCAGCAAAATATCAGCAAAATAGTAATTCTGGGAAAAATTGAGATAAATCTGTAGTGAAAATCATACGATTGTAAAAGTATTGCAAAAATCAATTTATTTGTTTATGTTTCAAAATACGAGTTTTTCATATGAGGAAAGTCTGCCATAAAATTAATAATCACTTTGAAGTGAAACAGGTTGGTATACACGGTATACAGTGTATACTATACACCGTTAGCGTACACTTTATGACACAATTGACCTAAAATTATATTTAATTATTTCATACTCGATAGTCTTATTGAAACTGACTTTATGAATACGTGTTTATTTGTATTAAATCTATAATACTTATAAATACTAAACATAAATTAATTGAAGTAATTATGACGAGTGGAAGTTTTGAAGTGAATGGTTGGCCCTTATGGTATGATAAGTATGGTACCGGCCCATCACCAGTGCTCATGATTCCCGGTGCTTTGGGTTTGTTGATAATTATATTTATTTATCATATTACTAATGTGTAAATAAAATCATATTTTCTTATATTTAAATAATAAATGCTTTTTATTGACGACAGGCACCGGAAAAATGGATTTTTATGAGCAATTAGAAGGAGACGATGCACTGGACCTCAAAAAATTCACAATCATTGCCGTAGACCCTCCGGGTTGGGGCAGATCCAGACCCCCTGTCAGGGCGTATAACAAAGATTTATATAGTAATGATGTGGACTGTTACTATAAATTAATGAAAGTATGAACAA